GCACACACGCCTGAGCACACACCCTCCTGCGCACACCCGCCTGAGCACACCCGCCTGCTCACACCCACCTGCGCACACCCGCCTGTGCACACCCACCTGAGGACACCCCCCTGTTCACACCCTCCTGAGGAGACCCACCTGTGCACACCTGCCTGCGAACACCCACCTGCGCACACCCACCTGCGCACACCCGCCTGCGCACACCCGCCTGAGCACACCCACCTGAAGACACCCACCTGAGCACACCCACCTGAGAACACCCACCTGCACACACCCGCCTGCGCACACCCTCCTGAGGACACCCACCTGAGCACACCCACCTGTGCACACCCGCCTGAGCACACCCACCTGCACACACCCACCTGCGCACACCCTCCTGAGCACACCCGCCTGCACAGATGCCAGCGGCAGGGAGCAGATGGAGGCTGTGTCGGAGTAATTAATAAATCAGTCCCTTTGAACAGCTGCTATCCCTGGCGGGCACTGTTCAGACCACAACCATCCCAGCTGCACTGGCCAGCCCAGGAAACAGCCCTCCCTGGCCACCCAGGGGACACTCAGACCCTGGCCTGGGAGAAGGGGATGGAAGGACCCAGACAGCCCAGTCCTGGGTGGTGGGAGCTCGGTTTGACAGGCACTCAGGACTGTGGGCCAGAGGAGGGGCCCGGCCCAGCCATGCAGGCGGGGCAGTGCGTCTAGAAGGCTTCCTGGGGGAAGCGGTGTTTGAGAGGGGCAGGTGGGAGCCAGGCAGGGAAGGGAGGAGGCAGGGAAAGGGAAAAAGCTGCCCAGGCAGAAGGCACAGCCTGTGCAAAGGCCCGGTGTCCGAGCGAGTGGGGCATGGTTCTTAGTGAAGGGATGGGGTGGCGGGGAGCCAGGCTTCGCAAAGGAGCCGTGAGCCCCAGCAGCCTAGAACTCACCCTCACTTCTACTTCTAGAGGGTGCAGCAGTCCTCAGCGAGGAAATGCTGGGTGAATGAACAGGAGAAACCATGTCAGGGGACCTGAGAGCCCCAACCACGAGGGGGGAGGGGGCAGGGGGAGGGGACAGTGGAGGTAGGGGCTGGTGGAGCAGCCGGGACCAGTGACTACCCTGTAGGGTGTGGGGAGGGAGGCTGAGCCCACCTCTGCTTCCTGGACTTCCGAGAAAGGGCAAGAGGGAGCAGGCTGAAGGGGAGGTGGCCCCAGGGGAAGGGGGGCATCAGCTGAGTTCCCGGCAGCACATGGGGGTGTGAGGTGGCCCAGTGTGGATGCTGAGGGCCAGAGGTTTATGGCTCAGGAAGTTGGGTTGGTTTGTCCTAAGACGTCCTGCGTTTGCCCTGGGTCCAGTAAGGTAGGGAGGAGCTGTGGGGGACAAGGGGCAGAGGACGCAGTAAGGGATGTAGGAGAGCATCCCAGGAGGGAGGAACAGCATAAGGAACCAGGGGGCAGGCAGGCGGGGGGCACCCACAGGAGCCAGCTGGGGGTCCAGGAGCGGCTCCCATGCTGGGAGAGACATGAGGGTGAAGGTCCTTCCAAAGCCCTAATGAAGGGGGGCCCAGTGGGATCCCTGCCCACGCTAGGCTCCTCGGGGGGGAGATGCTCCAGGGGACCAGGGTGCAGGGGAGTGGATTCCAAGGATCTATGAGGAGGTGATCGGGCAGGTGGAGGGAAGGAAGTAGAGGGTGGGTGTGAGGATGGGGAGCCTGGTCTCCCTGCCCCCCCAGGGAGGTTGCAGCCCCTCCTCTCTGGGACCCCGAAGTAGCCCCATGGATTAACTCTGTCGATGGAGGTTGCTGTGCTCTTCCCCCTCAGCGTCTGTCTCTCTCTTCCCCCAGCAATTACACCGCCCTGCTGGGAGTGTGGATCTATGGCTTTTTCGTGTTGATGCTGCTGGTCCTGGATCTTTTGTATTACTCGGCAATGAACTACGACATTTGCAAGGTTTACCTGGCGCGGTGGGGCATCCACGGACGATGGATGAAACAGGACCCCCGGCGGTGGGGCAACGCTGCCCGGCCCCCCCCGCCAGGGCAGCCCGCCCCACAGCCCCAGCCTCCCCCAGGCCTGCTGCCGCAAGCCCCCCAGGCCGTGCACACGCTTCAGGGAGATGCTCACAGCCCACCACTGATGACCTTCCAGAGTTCATCTGCCTGGTGAGTGCTTGCGATCAAGGCCGCCATGGTGGATCACTTGTCTTTGCCAAGCTTGGAAGATAATCGGGTCGTTATTGCTGCTGTGTTTGGCTCCTTGATTACCTGATCGTTTGCTTATCTTATTTGCCAAGAAGGATTTGAAGTTGCCCATGATAGCATGCGCCTGGGCCAGAGTCAAACGCGAGGTGGAAACGGAGCTTGGGAGCCCGGCTTGCCAGTTCATTGCACTTAGAGACTGGTGCGGGAGTGATTGCCACTGAGCAGTTAATGGAGTTGTGAGTTTCCTGGCTGCCAAGGCAAAAGGGGAAATTGGATGGCTTTCCAAGTTTTCATGGTCAAATGAAGCAAATGGGTTTTTGGAGGCTGGGGATAAGCTTTTTCAGCATGAAGTTAGGAAATAAGCATATTACTGGGTTGGTTCCTTATGTTCACATGCACTGAGTCTCTTAAGAACGTCTGAGGCAATGCAGGCAGGCTGCTTCATGACGGCTCAGGGGAAGCGAAGGGAGGCAGCGAGGGAGGTGGGATATCAGGGGGTTAGCCTAGTAGCCTGGCTGCATGTTCAAACCTGACTTTCTCTACTGTGACTCTCATTTCTGCCCAGTCCCAGGCCAGTGGGAGGTGGGGTAGGACCGACCGTCCCTGGGCAGTACAGACTTGGACGGAGGGAGGAGGGCTGTACATTTTGGGGCAGGAACCCACTGTGAGGGAGGACCGCACAAGGGACAGGAACCAGGCAGAGGACAGATGCCCCAGGCAAGAGGTCGGGTGTGGGGTCCAGATGCCCTGTGAAGGCTGAGCTGCAGCCACGGGCACATGGGATGTGGGGCACATCACCCCAGAACATCCCAAGACTGAGCCCAGGCTGCGAGATCCATCCCAGAGCTCACCTGCCAGCAGGTGCACAAATTTTCAGCACAGTGATTACTGTCGAGTCTGTGAGCAGTAAACCCGACCTGGGTGCGAGTCCCAGCTCTGCCCTTTACCAGCTCTGTGTGCAGGCAAGTTACCTCAGCCCTGCTGACCTTCCCGTCCTTAGGAAGCAGTGGAGAGTAAGCATGGTCCCCTGCCAGGGTCCTTGAAGGGTTAAATGAAATATCTGGCACCTGGTAGGTGCCCAGTTAACCATGGTGCTTCCTTGTTGGAGATGTCACCAAGCTAGTTAATGATCATTAAATAGCTAGCAGGTAGCGACCTTTTCAATAATGAATGACTTAAATAATTCATAAGATACACTTAAATCAGCTTATTGATCGAATAATTGCCCCATCTATCATGCAGAAGACAAAAACACAGCCCTGTTCAGCTCAGCTTGACAAATGCCCACTGAGCTGGTCCCCTGGGTCCTTCCCCCGCGCCAGGCTCTGGGTGATGTCAAGGCGATGGGTGGAGAATCTTGAGAAGGACAGAGAGGCACAAACCCACGCAAAGCTGCAGACCATGAAACAGACCTGGCCCCTGTGGTGGGGTTTTCTGAAATGTGGGTCTCTGGCAGCAGACCCACCTGGGGTGTTTATCAAAATAAATTCCTGGGTCTCATCCAGAGCCCCCTGACCAGGAAACTCTGGGGGTAGTGCCTGAGGTACCGGAGTCTGAGAACCCCTGGAAAACGTTGTTACACGGGGCCAAGTGTTTTGAGAGCTGGGATTCTTCCACGTGAACAATGGTTTTCTCTCTCCCCCATTTGGAACACCTCGTGCCTCCCTGAGCAACGGGCTTGCCAAGCTTGCTGGGCTTGTGCATCAAGTCCAAACCAGAGCCCGAGCTCGCAGTCCTTGAGGCCTGCTGTCTAAGTGGGAGACATTTAATTTCGGAGCTCGGAGGCTCTCCGTGTCCCCCCTGGTTCCCGTATTGTGGACTCGGGATGATGCTCCCATAACCATATGAGCGTTCATAAAACAGATCATCGGAAGCCTGTGAGGATGTGATGCGGGATAAAGGATTCACTTGGTGTCTTCCAGCTCTGGTCTGCCCTCGACACCCAGTGTGACCTTGGGTGAGGGGCTTCCTGCTTGGGCTTCCACCGTACCCACCACGGGGAGAGGGGACGGACTTGGTGAGACCGTCACCCGTCGGCCTCCTGGCGGGAGCCCATGGTTCTCGCAACATCTGTTGAGCGCTTGCTGTGCCCCTTGGCAGCACACTTGCCGTCTCTGTCTTGCTGCACCCCCATGGGCTCGGTGCCGGGGCAGAGAGGGGAAGTGGCTTCCCCAAAGTCGCTGGCTGGCAGTGGGGCGGGGATCAGGCTGCAGCCCTCTGTCCTGACAGAGACCCTACACCCCCCGTGAGCACAGCAGAAAGGACAGGGAGTGCGTACCCATGTTCCTTCACACTGTTCATGGGGGCTCGTTCCCCACTGGCCGCCACCCCATCCTGGCCCTCTGCCAGGTGCTGGGGACAGGGGACAAGTGACACACAAGACATGAGTGAACCATCAGGGGAAGACAGAAGGCTGTCACACAGCCTAGGGGCGGGGCCAGTGGCAGGGGGGGTGGGGCATGGCCAGAACAGATCCGAGCAGGTGTCCTGGGCAGAGAGCCAGGGCCACGACCGACCGCGACCCTGTGGTGAGTGTGGCCACCGGGGTGTCTGCAGGTGGCACGGGGGTGTGGCTGGGGCAGGGGCGGGCTATACTCAGTGCTTCTCCCAGAACAAGAGCTAGTGTCTGGGCCGCTTCATGTCCGAACTGTCACCCTGGGTCCTCCAAACAGCCCCCTGAGCACTTCCCCGGCATCGCGGAGACGCGGACCCCTCGGGCACAGACCCCACCAGTTGCTCCCCTGCTCTTCTACCTCCGGGGCCCCCATGCCCCCGTGGTCCTGTGCCCCCTTCCAGCCCGGCATCCCCACCACCCAGCTCTCTCTCCAGCAGAGCGACCTCCTCCTACCCGCCTGCCCAGCGGCCATGCTCTTCCCCTTCCTCACCCACAACCTGAGGTAGCCTCCCTGGGGACACCTGCCACCTTGCCCCTTGGTTCGCAGCTTTCTTGTCGGTGGCGCCTCTGGGCCTTCCTGCCCCTGCCCGCAGCTGAGACCCCTAGCAGCCCTCAGAGTCCTGCCAGACTGCCTGTCCTGTTCCGACTGTAACGCAACTGGACGCCCAGCCCCACATGACGCGGCCGCAAGCGGGTCATTTGAGTATTATCAGCACCCCTGACATGACCACAAGCAGCACATCCATTTGGGGCTGGAGTTGACCACCCGGCTCCAAGAGCTGCGCATACCAACCGTCGGCTCTGCGACCTCGGGCAAGTCATTCTACCTCCCATGCCTCAGTTTCCCCATGAAGATGCCAGGGGTCATAACTGTCTTGAGAATTAAAGGGGAGGATGCTTAGGGAGGGGCTTGGCCCCTTGAGGTCGCTTCACCTGCCCGAGCCTCGACTTCCTCACCTGTCAAATGGGGACAGTCGCAGCCTG